ATATCAAAATGTTATTATTATTATTATTTTAATTTGCACATCAATTTTATACTGTAATATCTCACCTGGGCGGGGATATCCAGCTCTCCCTAACTCTGCTCTCCCTATCTCTGGTCTTGGCATAGTCCGAGCATTGTGGAAGGTTCTGCTGTTTAAGTGATGCATTTTTCTGAAGATCAGGTGGGAAACAGCTGGTGCTCACGTTTGAGGAATAAAAAAACCTGTTTACGATCTTTTTTTGTTGTTTTGGAGACGAAACTGGAGTTTTGTCTTGTTTTCTTTCGTTTGTTTTTCTTTCTTTCTTTTTAAAATCCGAAGCCTTTTTTTAGTCCTCGCCTCTTTCCTTCTCGTTGAATTCTGCCTTGTAAATTCACAGGTTTGCTTACAGTTCCAATGTCAGTTTGAAATTATTAACTTATACAACCATTCGTTAACTTAAATCACAGGCTCGAAAACTTTTAACGACTGTTAGCTTAATAACAAGAACGCACTTTTCTTTTCTCTCTCTCTCTCTCTTTTTAAACAGAGGATCGAAACCCCTCCGTCCACACTCTCGAAAATGAGAAGAAAACCGGTGAAGAAAGAGCGTTGTTAGCTACGACCAAAAGTGTAAAGTAAAGTTACGGGGCGTTTACGTTTGCGTCAGCGTTGCAGACGATGGGAAGACACAGACGAGGACGGGGACAACAAACGCTCATTCCTGTCATTTCACACGTCGCTGTGAGCCTGAGGAGGAGGACACGGGCCGGATTATCTGGTCAGGTGGACGGCGGGTCAGTCAGTTGTCTTTTTTCTTTCTTTCTTTCTTTCTTTCTTTCTTTCTTTCTTTCTTTCTTTCTTTCTTTCTTCTTCTTTTTTTGGACGGGGTCAGTTGTCAGTAAAGTTGCCGTGGCCAGTTGATTGGGCTCGGTGAGTGTTTTCGTTTGCACGGTCCGGGTCATATCTTCGGATGTATACAGAGACAGAGGCGTCGTGCTTTGTTGGAGTTCGCTGTGATTCCTCGCGCCCTGTATTCTATTTTTGCTTTTATTGTTTTTGTTTGAGGGTTTTTTTTCTTGAGAATTTTGGAAAAAAAAAGGGGGGTACCGTCGGGGGTTGGTAATGC